TCACCAGCTCCTGAAGCTGCAGCGCGGCGGCCCCGAGTCGCTGCCCATCGTTCGAGGAGCTCTTCCGCACGGCGTGCCCCAAGTTCATCTCGCCCACGCCTCCCGACTTTGAGAACCCCGAGGCCAACATTGACCCGGTCGAGCACCACCTCTCCATCTTCATGGACGAGGTCAAGACCAACATGTGGAGCCCCACCATCAAGTCGTACCTCCGCCTGTACACGACCATGGACCTCAACAAGCTGTCGGGCTTCCTCGACGTCAAGCCCGACGAGCTCCGCGCCTGGCTCCTCGTCAGCAAGCAGCGCACCAAGCAGCTGCGCTGGTCCGAGAACAGCCTGCTCGACGGCGACCTCGTCAACGTCAGCGACCTCGACTACGCCATGCAGAACGTGAGTCCAGCCCGTTTCGGAGACGGCACTCCTGGAAGAACGAGAGCTAACCAACGACAGGACCTCATCCACATTTCCGAGGCCAAGGTCGGACGCAAGCTGGTGGACTGGTACCTCCGCAACCTGTCGCGCACCTACACTTAAGTCAGTGCCGTCATGGGATACGCGGCACGAATTTTACGGTCTAGATCTGGGGTGGGAGTGAAGAGGGGACCTGCGAAAGAAGGGTTCGCCGAAATGAAAAGGGCTGGCACGCACGCGGAGAGGGGCTCTCATCGGAACCCACAGGTGCGAAGTGGAAGGATTGCTCGCATTGTCAGGCGTTCAGGCGTCACAGTCACCCAGGACAGGAAAAATGGGGAAGGGGAATTACAGGCCGGCAGGGGGGGCTACCCAAAAAAACTAAATTGGCGGCCCTTGAGACAGAGAGAGAGAGAGAGAGAAAGAGCTGATGTTTATGTCAAGAGTACCGCAGAGAATGGATTTCAGGGCCCCCCCTCCTCATGTCCGGGGTGGTTTTGTCTCAGAAGACGGCCTGCTGCCGTGCTTCGTCTGGCTCGTGGCATACGTGTGCCTCTGGGACGGTGCCAAGTCGCCAAGCCTACCCACCCCGTTCGATTGAGCCATATGGTTTTGAAAAGAACGGCCAGATCGACGGGGGGCAATCGGCGACGCGCTGGCGATGTTCTATTCAGAGGCACTTGACGAGGCGTGGAACTCTCGAACCCCCCGACGGCTTGGCGGCTTGGCGTTTGCGTGTCGCCCAGGTGGCAAGCAGTGCTTGGCGCTGCGTTGATCTACGACGACTCAGATGTCGTGATGAAATGAACAACACATGATAACATAGTTTTTCGGGATACAATTTCGACGTGATGTGATGGTGGTCGATCGTGCGGGCGAACTTCGGTGCTCTATGTGCAGACCGCGCCATGGCTTGACACCCAGGCAAGACAAGAAGCAGAGAGAGATGGACGGATGAAAAGAGGGACGTCGAGTCAGAAGCGGTACGTCGGGAGGGCGGGCCAGTCCAGTCCCCCTCCCCCCCAGTGGCTTGCTTGCCTTATCATCACTCGGGCAGACAGGTTTGGTCCGCCCTCGGGCAAAGGCCGTCACTGGTGCAGGCTCCCTTGCATGATCCATGAGATAGAGGTGCAGAAGCGCGACTGGGGAAGCTGCTTCTGTTTCCGCAAAGGCAGGAGAGTCTGTCTGCTCACCGCCCTGATCTGACGGAGGGGGAACCATACCCTTCTGGCCAAGGGAATTCACGTGCGGGCGGGCGTGGTGCAGTCGTTGGTAGGAACCCTCCGCGGCGAGACAAACGTCCAGTCCATGTCGGCCGCCAGGAAAGTGACATGGATGGCTGGCGACAGGGTCATTGTGCAACGTGGGGTTCAGCTAGGGGCGGCGACCTGGGCCCTTGGAGGGGCTGATCAAGGCGTCTCCGTCCTGTATATGTTTACTTTTTTCTCGCAGACTGTTCTGGAGGGGGGCGTCACACCAACAGGGCAAGATATTTTGCGTTTGGGGAGGGGGGCGATTCGCTGTAGGGTCTTCCGAGAAATCGAAAAGGTTGTTATCGGGAAGGGGAGGGGGCCCTGACGACACGACTTTGGGTTTTTCATGACGGGACACGTCGGCGGCGGTGAGGCTGACTGCAAGCACTGTACAATGTCACACGGCAGGCAGTTTAAGCATCGCGGACGTGGCGTAGTGACGGCGGGGATGGCGTTGTGAGGTTGTCTCGGGGTCTACGGCATCTGAGGCATCTGGTGAGATTGCTGCAGCCTTCCGAGGTGGGTAAGATCATCGGAAGGTTCGAGCAACAAGCTGCGGGATGCCATGACGATAGTTGGCGTGAACACGGGAGGCCATCGAGATGGTAGATGATGGAGCAGCCATGTGTAGGTACATGTAGGCCGGCGAGGATGGCCAGGATGGCGCTTGACAGATGAGTCGTACCAGGCTTGGCGCCAAGTTGAACTGTTTGGATATTGCCGTTTCGCGTTGCGGACTTGGGTCCCACGGCCAGGCGACTTACTTCTCTGAGCATACCACAACGGCGGCCAGCCCAGTTCCCCGGACCCGAACGAATGGGCCGCTGTTTGAGAGGCCAGCAGAGAGACATGGCTCCTCTCTCCCCCCCCGTCTCCCCTCGAAGCAGACGAGATGAGCAATGCGGACAGAAGGGTTTCGCTTGGCTGTTTTGGGCACCATTGCCATTTCTGTTTGGCTCCCAACTAGGGGGTCAGGGTCACCGTCCGGTCCGGGCCCCCTTGACGTCGAGCAGCAGGTCGGCCCCAGGCTGCTTCGACGAGCAGACAGGGAGAGGGAGGGTGGCCAGAATTGTCACCGGCGGCCAGGCGGACGGTCCCGAGCAGGGGTGGCCTGGACACTGGTGCAGATTTCCGCCTGTTGCGCGTCCATCTTTCTGGTCCGTGGTCTCTCTCGTGTCTCTGGGCGGTACATGGTTGAGATGAGCAGCGACGATGATCGTGGGCCGTCTGTGAAGTCTTAACTGGGCTCACGGGCCCGAGTGGATGGGGATGTGGTTTCCCTCTTCTCTTGCTTCTTCTTTGCTTTGCTCTGTTGCTGCATCGTGATCGTCATCCACCACCGGCTCGTTTTCGTTCCTATTAGCCTTTGGCGTAGCACTGTCGCCAAGCGTTGCCCGCCCCCCCCCCCCCCGCCTTGGTTCGCCCTTGCTCTCTCTTTGCCTCTGCCTCTGACTTGTCTCGACTCGGTTGATCAAAAGGGTCTGCGCCTGCACGTCAGCTCAGGTCGGACAACGGACGGCTAGGCGGCGATCCAGATGCTCAAAGAAGCGGCATCTTCGACGACAGGGAGGAAAAGATGCTGGCAAACGGCCTGGCGACGGCTCCAGGGCGCCGAGAAGCCAACAAGGCCCTGGCCACGGCCCATGGCAAGGCCAGAGACAAGGCCAAGGTCGACCGACCCACGGCTCACGCACCCTGGCCCTGCAGCGGCGACCTAGCTCGCCGCCTCCGTGCCGAATGCATACCGTGGCAGCAGACCAAAGGCACCCGAAAAGCAGAGAAGGAGCTGGGCTTCATCCACTTTCGTGACTCCTCTTCTCCGTTCTTCCTCCTTTCCCATCACCACCAAAACCCCCGCACCATTGTCACGGCAGACGCCCTTCTCGCGAGCACGCGCACCGCCGGACACAGCACAGCCAGCACAAGCACAGCCAGCACAAGCACCACCTGGCCTCCGTCGAACCGCCACCACTGGCTCGCCCGCAGCCGCCAAGCTCCCCTCGGCCGGCCTCTGCGCGCGGACGCTCCATCGCTGGCGCCCGCGTGCACCAGTATCTACAGCTGAAGTACGCCCTCGAACCTCGCAACGTCCGGTCCTTTACCTTTACCGTGCCGACGCCGACGCCGACGCCGACGCCGTCCTCGACACAGACCCTGAATCCCGACATGTCGGAGCCTCTGCCCGCGCAGCAGAGCGCTGACGTCAAGAGCCCCGACTCTGGCATTTCGCCGCGCACGGTGATCCAGGGCTCGTCGGCTGCGCCCGACTACTTTCCTCCCCCAAAGGCAGCAGCCCCAGCAGAGGCAGTCCCCACGAGCCTGGCGACAACCGCCGGTACGCAGGATGCACAGGATGCACTGGCTCCAGCAGACGCCGCCGGCGACACCGAGACACAAGCCCAAGCACAAGCACCAGCACCAGCACCCGCGCAAAAGCCCGAGCGGCCACGCATCCAGATCAAGGGCCAGGACGCGGCGCTGCGACCGGACCTAGCGCTGCAGAGCCCCTCGGGCGCCAGCATCGACTCGGGCACGACGGTGAGGCCAAGCGAGTCGGACGGGCCGGGCGAGACAGGAGGGCGCGAACGAAAGGCGTCCATCTCGTCGCTGAGCTTTGCGCCGCTGCACAACCCCGCGCTGCCCCAGGGTACACACAAGAAGACAGACAAGACGAGGATCCGCGCGAGCTCGCCGCCGCCCAACCGGTACGTTTCCTTTCATTTCTGTATCTCTACAGTCCTCTCCTTGTGGTTTTCCCTGTGGTTTTCCCTGTGATTTGTTCATTGGCCCCCCCTCTCTCTGTTTTACCTCGTCTGTGCTGCCTCTCCATCCCCCTCCCTCGTCCCCCAAGACTTGGTGCGGTGGGGTCGAGACGAGGTCGGCGGAGCTACGTAAGCTTCCCCGGAATGGCTTCGTTGCCGTCCAGTGCTTGCGTGCTCGGGGGGGCTTTGGGGGCTGCGTGGGGTAGCCCGTCGGAGATCGACCGAACTGTTTAGCATGTGGCACGTCTCTTCACGTCATGATGGATACGGCAGACATCTCCCGATCCTCCTGGGCCTGACTGCTATTCGCACCATGGCAGGGATTGTCAGGTCTCTTCTCTGCCATGGCAGGCCTCCCATCCAGCTGCCTCTCCCTCCCTTCATCATCTACCTACCCAGATCACACTCGTCGCCTTCAGGCGACTTCACATTGCCATACTTTGACGGCACCTCTTACGAGAGGGCCGGGCTCATCAACGGCTGCGCCCCCCCAATACGATGGGCCTGCAGCTGAAGAGGGCCCGGCGCTGGTGTCAAGCGATGCCTGTCTAGGTAGCTGTCTAGGGACCATCCTAGGTACTCTTAGGGGCCTTCCTAGGGACCTCGAGTGCGCTACCCAGGTACCCCGCGCATTCACTCCCACGACACCGGTTCTGGCCTAGACCACCACGACCGAAGCGTCCAACAGTCACAGCAAGCATCATCAGACCACACAGCCCCCTTCCCCTTCCTCTGGCTTGCCTTGCCTTGCCTTGCCTTTCCTCCCCTCGGTCCCCCCTCTGGCGAATTGCCGCAAACAATCATCGACTCGGCTGCTTGCTCCAACGCCGCGCCTTTTTTTCTTTCTTTATGGTTCTCCCTCTTGAACTCTCTTTTCCATTGCACAACCCCAATCGCATCCATGCTTTCATCGCCTATCAGCGCCGGCACACCCCCGACCAGTACCATGGAGCTGACCGACAACCCCGCGCACAGATTCCAATCACATGTCGCCTTTGACAACCTACCCCTCGGCGAAGCGACCAAGAGCAACACACCGTCTCTGACGCTCAATGTCCGCCACCGCGGCTACCAGGCCAAGCGCCGCTCGCGCACCTTCATGGTCGGCGTCGACGAGCACGCCTACTCCGACTATGCGCTGCAGTGGCTTCTCGACGAGCTGGTCGACGACGGCGACGAGGTCGTCTGCGTGCGCGTCGTCGACAAGGACATGCGCAGCATCGGCGCCTCGTACCAGGACGACGCCCAGGCCATGGTTGACGCCATTTCTCGAAGAGAA